GGCACAAACATACTTGGTCATATCTATATCGTATCGAGTGGTACGCCGACTGCCATCTGGACGAGTTTCTGCTTCGATCGTAATTGCCTGGAAATGAAACGCATCAGAAAACACTCGATATGAAGTTACGGTGTAGCGAAATTTCACAAAAATAACTACCAACCTGAGCAGGACAAATAGCCTCGCAGAGTTTGCAAGCGATACAACGCTCTTCACCTGATGGATAGCGGCGTAGAGCATGTTCTCCTCTGGAACAACATGATCAGACAGTTTTTAAATACAGCCTTTCTTTGCAGTTCCGCTCGATTTCAACTTTCCTGTCATTTCAGGGGCAGTTTCAAAAAAAAGATGACCGGCGCCTCTGGTCATGGTAAGACCCTGCTGGACGCGAAGGAAGCCATATAACGGGAATTCTAGCGCACGCTGGTTAGGGGAGTTCGAAGCAACCAAGGGAAAATGGGAATACTGAAACGTAGATGAGGACGTTTGCTTGAACCTAAGCAAGAAGGAGTTAGGGGTGGGGTAATCCTATTTATTTGTGTAAAAAGGTTTGGGATCAATCACTTCGCAGTAGAAGTCCTTTAAATATATATTCTTCTCGAGGCGGCTTACCCAGTAATTCCCCCTGAGTTCCTCACAACTTCCACCTTACGCAGCCTTTACCACTGTACCAGGACGTATAAAAACAAAGTAGCCCCTGATTTCTTTCCCATATAATGTGAAGGCCCAATCAGTGCCAGTCGACTAGAGAGCCTGCTTAGCCCATGAATGGTAAGCCAAAACCTAGAAAACCGAGTCTCCTGAATCGCCGGATCGTTCAATCTCCGCGGTCGATACCCACATTTTCCTCGCCACGATCTCAATTCGCAGATTCCTCAAGTGCCATCGGGCATGGAAAATAACATACCTGAATCGAGAGCTGATAGGTCCTTTCTCAAAGGGATAGTTGATCGTAGCAGGTTCAGGCAGTTTCGCGATAGAAGACAGTTGAACCCAGCATTACTGTGTGTGATCCGGCCGAAGCCTATAAAGTTTGATATGTACTTAAAATGCTATAAAGGCAAGTACATTTGACTTAAATAACACTGATTTGAAAAGCGCTTACAATGAAGATGCTCAATAATTCGCGAAAAATAACCTCGAACATTCAGTGAAACACAGCAATGTATGAAGTCCATAGTTCAGGTCACCAGCAAATGAACCATCGGTTTCCTCTACCATACCAACGTATTTATAATTAGTTCGTTTCTGGTGGAGTGCTCCACTAGTTACACCCAACTAAAAAAGAAGAAACATGCAAAAATGATGCAACATTTTCCCGAAAGTTTCGAAAAAAAAAACCAACGGTCCGAGAACACCGTCGAATACAACATCTTTCCCAGCGCAATGGATTTCAGCCGCCATGTCACTAACGACTAAAAACCATAAACATTACGACCACTTAAGCGCTTGTAGAAAGACTTAAGTATTTACGAGAATCGAAACAGCCCGAGCGAAAATGGCGTCGGTAATTGTAATATTCAGCCGTGACCTAAAGCTGAACCCTTTGTACGGTCTGCGATTACACGGGGGACACACCTAACGAGTAGCTAAGAAACACGACGAGGAGAGTGCGTACAATAGGCAACTACCGAATCCCACGCCTGTTTTATTCGTCGGGGAGTACACTGTGATGGTGATGTGTCTTAACGGGGGTTCTTTGTCATAACGCTTTCAAAACTACTCCTGCCCTTATACTACTGTCGGCACGGATCTCCCCATCATTTGACATAAAAACTGCGAAGCTTTCTTGTTCGCGCTCTACAGCTACGCATCAATCAAATGTATCGCAGGTTGCCTGACCAAGTGGTTCGCTGACGTGAGGTATTCTAGTTGTCTTCAATAGGTACAAATCAATGTTACGGATGAAATATATGTATGCGTCCTCGTGGATCAATGGTTCTTAGATTTTGGGCATATGTATCTTTACGTTGTGGAGAGCTTTACATTAGTCCAATAAATTCGTATTAAATTGAGGGAGGCACTCAAATTTCCTCAGTACTATCTGTTATTGTATCAGCGGTGTTATAGAACAGACTCATCGTCCACGGCGCTCCCTCAACCTGTGAGCTTGTACAGGTATTGATGTCTTCTGTGCTCTTCAGCTTGGGTGCTGTTGTTCCTCGAGTGAACTAACAAAGCGGGCTATAAGTTGTATCAGAGCGTCCTTCCCACGAATAGCGATCCTTTGTTTCAGTGATGAGGAGGATCACTAACACATGCACCCAGAAAGGGTGCTGTGTTTTCTCGTCGGGTTTCCCTTACTGCGCTAGCCCGCCGATCGGTACGCCGGCTAGAGTCGACGCTACATGCGCTGGAATCGGAACAAGCATATGTAGCCGTCGCTGGTGGCGCATGCGTCAGCTGCATTCATACTTTGCGGCAGCGTCCACCACCGTTTCGAGCGAGCACCAAGGCGAGGAAGGTGTAGATAACGAGCTAGTGAATGCCAGCGTCGTTCAGCGTCGCTGGTCGACACTGCCGCAAAGTATGAACACAGCTTCAGGTGGTTCCAGAAGAGAGCAAATGTGATTGTTCATGTCAGGATAGTCATACTTCTCACTGGAGACTGAAGTTTGCCCGCAAATTGGTAACTTAGGGGATTTTGCCACTGGTGCCTATGGCGCAGACACCAGGATATCTCAGGCCAAACCGATGTGACTTTCGTGTTCAGGAAGTCGACGTACCCCTGGAGACAATTTTCAGACGAATCGAAAATGCGACCTCAACTTGGAAAACTAAAAAAGGTAAATAGGTGCCAA